CTATCAATTTCAAAATTCAACTTCTTTGCATATTGTTTGATATTTTATTTGAATGCTGGGATCTATTTGGTTCTCTTAATTCTTGGAATGACTGAATGTCACAATCTGTTTTTTGCCAWGGTACTTATTTCTTTGCAAAAAATGGGATACTGGGGTTTAAATAGAATCTTCACAAGAAACAAGTTTCTTTTTGTTTCTCCCTGAGTCCAGAACAGTGAGAATTCTTGAAGGCCAGTGGCTCTTGTGCAGAAATGAAACATAGTAGTCCAGTGCACTGTAGTCAACTACTTATATTGATTATTGACTGGTGTTTAATTTCAGTTTRGGAACGTGTGATAAGGAGRATGGTCTTTATCTTGTTCTGTAGCTGTGATTGAAGGCAGCAAGAAGTTGCAACTGTCAAGTCACCATTCTGATGCTCGACTGGTGACGATTTATGTGTAACAAAATAAGTACACTGGACACTATTATGTGATGATATTWTATTTTAGCTTCTTTAAAGTTCTAGTAGTGGTRAAACGRTATCATTATTGAAAGAAATATGTAGCAGATTTCACTTCGTTCAGGTCCAAATTTCCCAGTTCAGGGATCTCAGGAAATTCAACTTCGGGATATCGCAATTCCCACGATTCCTTGAGGTCCTGCAACAGTGGCTGAGAATATAGCTCGACAAAACAGCCCCGCAACGCCTCGTTCATCTCGTCGATATCACAGGCGTGCGTCCAAAACGAATCGTGAACAGCCGAGAAAGCCAAGCCTCGCCGGTCCATTTCCAGTGCAGTCATCAACATGTGTGACGAGTCCAGGGAGTGAATATAGTTTGGAGGAAATGCAGTGCACTGACGACTTTTGTGGACTTGTAAATCGTCGTTTTCGTCTACTACGGTGATTTTCTGCATGACTGTAACAACCGTCCTTGGCCTCCGCTGACGATACGGTTGGATAGCAGGCACCCCGATAGGTGATATCCATGCGACTGGGTGACCTTGCTGCGAGATTAGTCGAGCACAATCTGCCAGCCATGTCTTTGTTTTTTTCGCACCTTGAAATAGATCTCCCATTACTTCCATGGTGACAGTGGCTACATATCCAGCGGCGCTGAAGACTTCTCTTTCAATTTCATCAATATCGTATCCTTTCTCTTTCAGCTGAAAATATTTTAAAATAAACAAAATTTAGGAGACACATACGAAATAATACAGCAAAAGACAAAAAACAGCAGAAATGTTCGATCCTTACTTTTTCTTCTATCTTTTCTTGGATTTGTTGTCKGGCGCCAATATATGTCACGCCGTACACACTTGTCATGACTGTTCGCTTTACGACGCCRCGATCAATTAATCCGTTCACGAGTTTCGCGGCTGCATTGTTCTTTATAGCTTTTCGTTGTTTTGAATTCAGATCGGCGTCGTCGACATCGAATCTAACATCTAGTTCTGCTTCTTCTTTCACCCTCCGAATCACTTCATGCATGACACCGACATCTAATGCAAACCAAATTTTTTGATCAAAATCTTTGTYAGAAGAGGAACAMAWAAGTTTTGTTTGCTGGTTACTGTGCTCGAGAATCTGACAACTTACATACGTCCTCCGGACCATCACCCTCTAAGAGGTTCACTGCCTTCCCGCCTACTGTATCTCTCCCGATGGCAGCATAGTGTTGTAGTCCGTTGCAAGAACCGTCCATGTGAACAGGAAGGGAGCACATATACGCTTCCGGATTACCAGAATCGATGGCGTGGACRATCTCGCGACAGGTTGCAAGACCTTGGAATGGGTCATCTAGTTCCATCCACCAGTTGTTACCCGAAAAAGGATCTCGAACACACTCCCTGACATTTTCCATGTTGTCATCAACGTAATTTGCACGATCATCGAATGACATTTTATCTTTGCCAGCAAAGTTTGCAAGATGGACCTTTAGCCAATAAAGTCCCCGCTTGCCAAGAGGTTTWGCCTCTGAAAATGTCAACATACCTCGGCACAAATCTGAGCCTACATTTGATAGGTGCGGCGGCACAGGGTCTTCGAGTAAACGATAGCAAAAAGAAAATTTAGAATCATGAAAGATTTGAAACAAGCCGTTCGCGGCRAGGCTTGCTAGAAAGAGCGAGGAGACTTACAGGCACGCCCACGAAAGTCAAGATTGTATGGGAAGTATATTTTCTCGAAATCTTGGAACTTTTTCGCTTGGTTTAGTTTGAGCATAGCAGAGCACCGAAGAGAACGAAGATCCTATCCGTGYGTGCAGACAAATTTAGACGCAGGTGAGAACAGTATAAGTGGAAAACCAAAACGGAGAYGGAAATGAATAAAAGAAAAAACGCACCATATTCTTTTGGATAACTCTCTGATACTTCGTCGTGCTTTCTCTATACGACTGGATGGCTTCTATCTTTTCCTTCATCGCTGGATCGTCTTTGTTGGTATACATCTCTGGGTCGTATTCCACTGGGTATTTCGGTTCGGGGGGAACCTTCAAATCTGTTCTCGAAGGTATATCTCCAATCGGGATATTGTTTTCCCAGCAGTATTCGCCAACTTTAAGGATTTCCTTGTTGATTTTCCACGCCGTCTTGCCCAATATATTCAAACCGTCACAGACAGTGGAGAGATCGGCATGCTCSAGAGCTTCTTTTTGTACATTGGAACGATGCGTTCTCATCATTTCTACTTCAAGCCAACGGTAGCCCCCCTTGTTTGGTCCGGTCCAGTTCGAGGGAGGAACAATCATAGGCATGTGCCGGGTGGTATTCGCTGCCCAGGAAAGGTATTCTTCCTCCAGAAAGATTTTGTGGAGGTGATTGTTTATTGTTACATAGGACGTTACTTTGGTGCCGTTGTTCGACCATCGCTTTTCGACCCGAAACGCGGGTTCCTCTCTTCCGTTCACGTTCACCTTGGCATTTTCTGTAATTATCGAGAGAAGTGCCGCGCCAAGATGGATGAGATCATCGTTTGTCCATGTCTCACAATTATTCATCGCCTGCTTAGCTCGTTTTATTGCAAACTGAATGGATCGTTTGGTTTTCCCCATCCCCATACGTTGCAGATCTTCAAAGAAAAGCTTCAAGTGAGAAGCACTGAACGACCATCGATCCATGGAGTATTCCTTTGCTGCAACGTCACCGGCATGGTCCTCGTTTTKGTTTTCGTTTTKGTTTTCGTCAYCGGTRCTAGGCGAGACAGCTGGGGGAAAGTTGTGGAATCGTTCTTTCATTCTTCGCTGCGACACCACCTCTGTTTCTACGGCCGCTCCGATAGCTCGCGCTATCTTCACCAATGGTATTCCCTCTTTGCCATCCTTTCCACTGTTCAGCAGTGCTTGGATGATTGCCTCTTGTGCAAGTATCACTGCCATTTTGTCCGGATGCAGCGAGCATAGGAATGGCCCGTAGCGGTTGCTGGCTCGCCGCTTGTCTTGATTCGAAAGAAATTCTTTTTGCCTCCGCTCGATGGCGTCCCGCATTCCCTGGAACCACTGRACCACGTGTCGCTGCATYAAACTCATCGARTCGAACGCCTTGCGATCTCTYGCCTTCTGAAGCATGTCTTGGTGCCTCAGTACCGTCTCTCTCTGGGAATAGCACTCCAACCAGAGCTCCAGCTCTTCCGGATCGCCCGAAGTGGGTGGATTCACAGGATCAAAATTCCTCAGCATTTCCATCACCGAAGCRGTGGTTTTAAATGAGCTCGTTTCCTCATTGGCATCGCCGGCCATTGTAGAATCCCTTCYAGAGTTTTCTTCGCTCGACGGCAGAGCAGTCTCTTCGACAATATCGTGGTTTGAATCCCCWTCCACGTCCGTGTCGTCATCTCCCTCGACCTCGTCGACAACTAGTTCTCSATTTAWAGAGTTGTAGCTACCAACTTCCCTCCGTGAARGTGGTCCTTGTCTGTCRTTGTARGAACSATTCTCCGGCAACAAKCGYGTCAGACAGGCATTGGTAAATGCCTCTATTTCCATGTCCAACGCGGCTTGGTGTTCCTGGTCGTGTGAAGCAGTGTCGTCGTCGTGGTGATCTTTCGAAACAGCGGCTGCTAGCGGCTGAGATCCCGAGGGAGAGGTCGTCGCGTGGAAATAAGTTATTTTTTCGTATCGTCGCTTCCGATGTCGGTGAAAACCTCCGAGACGGGAAGCAAGTGTTCCAGAAGCCCGGTTTGTCGCTGTGGTGATCGAGGCGGAGCCCTGGCGTCCGCAGGGAGCATGGATCGCCAGGGATCGCCATCGCCGCACGGCAGCTGCCCGTCCCTGCATCTCGGTGTGGTYCTGACTCGAAAAGAGYTGCTAGAATCGAATCCACGTTTGTAATCTAGCCGARAGCAGTCGAGTCCGGGCAAGGATCCATGCGATACGAGCCTGAGGGRGGGATAGTGTTGTTGATATTTCCGGGGTGACAGCGTATTGAAATAGTGGTGCAGCGCGTCGTTGTTGATTTCTTCCGCGAACCACCAGATGTTAGTCCCAAATCGAAAATGACACAGCAACAGTTTTTTACTAGYTTTTTGACATCGGCACCAWCTTCTGGTMGATGAGTGGCTGGTTTTGTTTCCCCCGTTTATTGAAATCGAAATAGTGCATCCCCCAAATTTATCCGAATTCGTGACTAAAAGTTACACAGGATCGATCACGCTACGGTTCGGGTACAGGCGTTGTTCTACCGAGGATGATGTTATGAATGACGTAATCACAGCCTAAAATTCTATTCTTTCCGTGCACACTTATCATTCGATCTTGCCACATCACAGAAGCTGACAAATGAGGTSAACAAATTGAAGAAACCCTGTTAAGTGTGGGAATGGTACGAGCAATGGTACCGATTGGGCCAGGAGTAGCGTGCGAGTACTCGTACGATTGCCGAAGCAACTCTTCGGCTTTCCCTCGTGTTTGATTTCGTATCCACGCAACWTACGATTGCAAGCGGACATCAATCCGAACTCMGTACGGTAGCAGGGTAGATGGGGAAAGCCGAACCTCTTTCTTCAAACACTACCAGCTGCTAGGCTGACGTCCGATAGCGCTAAGCATTGCTTKACAAGAATCTAAACTGAATCAATAAAGTAGACATCACAATACTGACAACGTCCCGCGATAGAAACAAGTCTATTTTATCAATCTCTACGTCACAAAGCACCCATACCTTGGTGAAAATAACAACACCGGAATACATTGGCAGGGAGTGAACTGAACCAGAATGGCAATTGACGAGAAGAACCGCGTTACAAAAGGACGTCATGGCTGTGGGAGGAAAAGGGCGTTCCCAACGACCTGCAGAAGAGCCTTCAAACTTGCATCGGCAATGACGCTCTCGGCGTCCCTGGTGGCCACTGCTGCCTTCCAGCAGAGYCTTCCCCTGAGCCATCCTAACTCCCCCTTGTCAGTACATCGATCCTCCACCGCGGTGAAGGTGTTGGCGGATCCYACAAACCTCGTGCGCATTGAAAAGAAACAGACCGTTGAGGATAGAGCCGCTCTCGAAGAACTCTATCTCCTCTCGACGCTGGCGAAAAAAGCCATGGGGAAAACGCAGCAAAAACGAAGACGKGAGAGAGCTGCAGCGTCGTTGGCCACAGCTTCCGTTCTCAAGCAAAAAACGAAACGTGTTAGCACCACCACTACTACCAAATCAACAATTGCGAAAAAGTTKAGCACGCCGAAAACTACCGTGTCGAAGGGGAAAGCACTGATAAATGGGAAAGAGGCTACAACGCAAGCAATCCAGGCTTCGAAGAAGCCTACGGAAAAGGACCAAGAGGTTCCTCTTCCAGCACCCCAGGAAACGCTTGCGAACTCGATTTCCTCCGCTACGAATCCCCCGATAACAACTCCAGAACGCCTGCAGTTTCGGGGATTGTCCACAGTCCCGAACCGAAGGAACGGAAAGAAAAAGAAGACGTTAGATCCCGTCAAACCTGTTCGGGTCGACCTAGACACGGATGAATATATTCGCAGCATACTGCGAAAGAAGGAAGAGTTTCTTTCCTTMGACTCTCCGGGCCCCAACGATCTGTCGGAGGGAATGGCAYCTCTAGAATCCAAAACTCTTTTGGACTCTTCGGAAGTCACAACCAGCAGCAAATCCGGATCGAATTCGATCCACAACAACATGCGCTACAACAGCAAGTCGTCGACCATGCCAGGATTTCGGCAACGCCGCAACACCGATCGCGCAATTGCGTACCAGAATGGCGTAAAAATTGCGGAGCAGCACGCTGGGATTGACTTCAGGGAATCACCTGTATTCAAAAGCAAGCGTGGACAAAGCAGCGGCCAGGCGATGTACCGGGCGAGCAAATCGGTGCCCGATAGTCTGGTGCAGTTTGCAAACGAGATCCACAACGTCGATCGCATCACGCCCAAGGAAGAGATCGTGCTCGGAGAGAAAACACAGGAGGCCATTCGACTTCAGGGCATCTACGATGGTTTGGTGGCCAAGCTGGATAGAGAACCAACCGACGATGAGTGGTGCGCGGCAGCTGGAAAATTCAACATGGAGTCCATCACCCAGACCATCGAGGAGGGCCTCGACGCCAAAAACCGCCTGGTGACATCRAATCTGAGAATGGTACAGGGGGTCGTCAACGTCTACATCAAGAACGGACTCCAGGGACAATACAATGCTGGTGACCTGATGCAAGAGGGAATTGTGGTAAGTACAAGCTGAGACTTTTGTTGATTGAAATTGGCAATCCGTCACGAGTTTTGCAATTATTTGTAATCAGGTTCTAATAATGATGTCTTGCTTCTATTTTTAATTTTCAGGCATTGATCAGAGCTGCCGAGAAGTTTGATCCCACGAAAGGATTCAGATTTTCCACGTATGCWATGTATTGGATTCGAGCCGCTGTGAAACGAGATCAGTTGTACCAGTCCCGTGTCATACAAATCCCACAGCGCTTGCACGAGAACAGCAAGCGAATCGAAGTTTGCAGGAAGGAACTGACCGAGGCTTTGGATCGCCCGCCTACCGTTTCGGAAATCAGCAACGTACTCGGAATGACAACGGCGCAAATTGAGAGGTGTGACACAGCCATGGCGCAGAGGATAAGTTCTTTGGACCAGCAAATTGTCAACAGAAACAAGCCAATGAGCACTGATCGTGGTATGGAATCGTTGCATTCCATCATCGCGAGCAAAACCGATGATGACGAGACCCAAAAGATTGAYTTGATCCATTTAAGAGAAGATTTATTGAAGGCATTGAACATCCATTTGACGCAAGAAGAAGCATCGATAATTAYCCTGCGGTTTGGCATGGACGAGGAATATGCGTCGTCCAAAAAAGCAGGACGAACGATTAGTGAAGTTGGCGATATAACGGGCCTMAAGCCCGATAAGGTGCGACGAATYATTCTACGATCTCTCAAAAAGCTGAGGATTTCCATYGGCGATGATTTTGAGTTGTACAATCAGGAATTCAGCACGTAATCGAYCAACAACTTTTGGGTCTATCCCGCCGACTGTAAGAGCTACTGTAACAACAAAATACACCATAGAATTTCTTTTTATGCTACKAAATTAAAATTTGCAAACGAAAGCTAKACTATGTATTTATGCCTGAAAATTCTTCCTCCTCAGAGAATACGAGACTACCGTCGACAGCATAAACTGGAACTTTCTTGGGTGCCCCTATAGCTTCCCTAGATCTTACTACGACGTCACCTGCACTGAACCTGGAGTGAAAAGATACGGACAATTGGTGAGGCTAAAGAACAACGTCTTGTTCCTGAAGAATGCAACTTGAGCAAATCTGGGATTTCTTACCTGCACATGACTGATGTACCCGGCGAGTGAAGGGTCAACGTTGGGTACAATTCTTCTTCCGCAGGTACAAGAAGAGGGAGGGTGAACGACGGGGGAGCGGTTCCGACTGGTAGGTTCAACGTTGGRGGATTTTGGTCGAATCCTGAAATTGGCAGAGTGGGAACGTGAGGGCTAACAATCCTTCCATTTATGTTGAACGTAACGGTGGCCGTTATCATCACACCGTCCCAAGTTTCAAACGCACTGCTATCGTCGAGGCAAACAAGGCAACCGACAGTTTCTTGATCTCCAAACGAACTTATTGTTGGATCTGGGCCCGGACTACACCACTGCCCGGATATTAAAATCTGACCTGTTGTACACAGTCCAACACTTCCTTTCCAAGCTCCCACAAGCGTGTCCGTAGGCATTTCTTTTGTTGACAATCCGAACGAGAGTGTCGCCAAACTTGTTTGAAGTAACCCACCGGTACGTCCGAGCACTGTCATCTCAAAGTATACAAAACAATTTCGGAGGATTGGYACCATAGATCTTAAGGAACAATAAAGAAGTGGACCAACTTTGGTAGCCACTGTGTAGAAAAGAAGCGTTAAARGAYGAAAGGTAATGAGAGACTCTAGTCAGATCGGCGAACTGCATATTGCCATGATGCTATACAATGGCGCATTGACGAAACATCCCCTTGTTGCGAAAATGAACCTCACGCACCATGCTGACCACAACTCAGATCGATTCCCGCACTGGCATCGTCTGCGTCAAACACAGCCAATCTCTGACCATGCGTGAGCGCTTCTGCCATTTCCCTYGTTCGCTCGTTGCTGCTTTCCAATCCATCGTGGACACGCAGCTGATCACGWGCCAAGAAAACAACGTCATCCGCAAACCTGCTCCCCCGTTTCAAAACATGCGCACGCGATGCTGGTGTCGGAGGAAAGGATTGCGGGGTGCACATGAATGGTCCCTCGAGCGGGGACGATGTCGTCGAAGCGTCGTCGGCATCTAAATCGAAGTMATTGTTCGATGTTGTAGGGTGCTTTTTGAAGGTTTCCTGTAATTTGACGGTCGCGACAAAGGGTCGCAAACTAACGTCATAGTGCATCATCCTTTGCACCCTGCTCTTTGCGTGCCTAGACAAGCCTCCATCGTTGTCGTCTAAYTCGGTGTAGGAAACAACAGGTGCCGCCGAGTTCAAGGTATTTAGTTTTCTTATCAACTTCTCGCTCACCATTTTCTTTCCCGGGGAACGCATCCGACGCAGATTCCCTTGGGAACCATACACCAGGCCACTCGACAGGGGCGAACGATTTTTGGCAGAAAGACGATGCAGAGCGATTGAGCTCGCCGACCCAACTCCGGTCGCCACCGACTGGATACCCGAAACCACCCTCTCTCGAGTTTTTCCCATCATGTTGAATGGCCTCGTGATCACTGCGCAAGCAAAGTTGACAGGGTTTGAACGCGTTACTCCGTCCCACACGTTTACCACAACGCAAACAGAAGCATGCARTGCCATGGCGGCGACTCGAACAGTTGCATAGCTAACATCTAACGTCAAATCCAGAGAGACATTCCACGTATCATATGTCAGAGACAAAATCATGTTGTTGTATAGAATGTGTCTCGGTATATCAGCGATGCGCGTTATTCTCTCTGATAGAGTATTGTTGTTGTTGTCGTGTATRTATTGCGACTCGGGTGTATCTTCTGCGTCGGTATAGTGGTTTGCATCGTCATTATGCAACGACAAAGTTTGTTCTMTAGCTGCCTCAAAGGCTTCGACACAAAAACTGCCAAGTGATCCAGGGTGCGAAAATATGGCAGCTGCCAGTTTCTGCTTTGCCCAGAAACGAGAACGATAAAATCGTTCTTGTTGACTTGCGTATGATTCGTCCGCATCATCCCCTTCTCGTTGATCTCGTTGTTGCTGCTGTTGGTGATAATTATCGCGCAAGGAATACGAGCCGTTAAAATCATAATCTGGATCCGGGGATATATCAATCAGTCCGGGAGCAGAAGAACTATCGAGAWTTGTGRCTTGATTGAAMATGGTATGTAATGGCAGARCGCTGCTTTCTTTTGCTCCTTTCACCGAGCATGGAATCTCCCTTTCAGGSGTGGTARTTGTACCACCAGCGATATCCAGAACTGGTGATATCGGTGGTGGCAGCCGTCTTTTTCTACTTCCTTGTTTCCGTTCCGATGCTGTTATTCGAGGAACACGAGGACGTATTTTTTCTGTTTCGAAATCAAACTCATATCTCCTCAAATGATCGTTTACTTTTCTAGATGGACTATGCGTACCAGACATTTCCGTCACTAACGCCATGAAAGTGGCCATTGTCCGTTTTATTTTAGCCKGTTCTCTCTTGCATTCACTAATTCCATTGTTCGAGCAGTCCGAAGAATYATTGCTTGAACTACTAGTGCTTTCGCCGGCTTGTTGTTGTCGGTCTGTTCCGTTTGCTTCCATCGTATTTGCTTCACTGATCATATGCTGAACCTCTGTTGCCCCCTCAGTCTGCTACACTGTTTTTAATTCTTGACAACACCACACTTTTACAACGCGTCGAAGCGAAATTCGACGTAACGGTTCGATACCCTGATTTTGCCGGAAGTAGGAGGTTGTACTCCGTTTGAGTTAAATTCCGTCCAAAAAATTTCAAAAACGAAGCGAAAAAGAAAAGTTCAGAACTCTGAAGGGAAGGATTACGTACCGGTACGGTAGAAGGGATTCCATGCGCAAAGGAATGAATTTTTGAGACAGCAGCAATGCAAGTTTATGGGCTATTGCGGAGAGTGTTGAAGCAATAAGATAAAATGAGACCTTAAAACAAAKAGGGCAATTGTAAAATCTTGGSRTACAACAGATGACGGCGTCGACTCACGTGTTTCTTGCGAGCACGCATGTTTTCCCTACTGTGCGTGCCCTACCGGTAGGTACAATACTTGTGCCCAATACGAGTACCGAGAGAATTTCATTCACGTTYAGATCGAATCTCTTTTTGAGAATCTATCATACATCTAGCAATGCAACAAATAGATTAAACACTAAACACTGTATTTTGTTTTTTCTTTGTTACAACAGTGTTTGCATGCTACGGTAGAAGCATCAAATCCACTGGTTTTGTCCAAGTTGTTCTTGACAAGAGAAGATCCCCAAGAATAAAAATTGTTGATTAACTTACGCTGTTGGAATTGAAAATACCGAATAATGCGGTTGACTATTAATGTCAGAGCGAATCGCTGTCTCGATATGAGGGATGGGTTAGATTGACCAGACTGCTTGCAACGTCGAATCAATTTCCTTCCGTAGAAGGAACTTAGGAACTTGAACACSAATAGTGYATTACACTAATTTTGCGGCATYCAGCTGACCGCGTTCAGTTTCGGTGCTGATTTTGGCTTTCTCAAAAGCTCGGTGCTATATTATCCARCRGAGTTGAGCAGCTACCGATTTTCTATTGGATCGCAAATAGCCGCTTTTTTGTTTCTCCGCGGTATTTTCTCCGAGGAATTCTCAGAGACGGAAATTCTGGAATGTCAGGGCATTCCTTCGGTTCGTATCGGGGGCACATTGCTCGGACATCTCGCATCGATTCCACCACGTCCGATTTGTTCAGGTTGTCGGCGTGTTCCAATATCTGCTGGTAAACTTTGACTTCCGGGCACATGGCGCGGCACAGGTTTGTCCAGAAGCGCTGCGAAGAATTTGCGGGAACGAAGCGACTGAAAGCGTTTCTGGAATCCGAGTCGTCGGCGTCGCTCGTTCCGTTCCGGTAGCTCCCCCTGTTCACCTTTCGAAAGAGGTCTTCGCTGGAGAGCTTCGACCAATCTTCYGCCAGGTGCTCGGTACGGAGAASTACTAGAGACGGGGGAGGCAACGCGGGCGGGCTGCTGCCTTTTGGAARTGGCTTGTACAGATTCATGGTCCCCGTCAGCATCGTCCAGTAGTGCTCGTAGTTGTACCATTCGTGGTACGAAAATTCCCGGACCCCCAGGACGGCGGCCCAGGCCCGTTCCTGGCAAGTCATGTCGACTGGTCGCTCCGCCGACACTTCGCTGGTGCGTTTATTGGTGGTGTTGCTACTGTTGCTGCCGGATGGGGCCGTCCATATTGGTTCCAATCCGTTCGTCACGAGGTCCACAAAGTTGTCGTAGCACTCGGAAAAGAGCAAACCCCTCTTCCACCGCAGCCTATTTTCGTCCTGTTTGTTCCGTCGGGTGGGAAGCCGGTCCTTTTCGAAATCGAACCAGGACCAGATTCTCGTCAAGGGATTCCGAATAGTCATCAGAAAGGTGGCAGTGTGCCTAGTCGTGGTTCCGTCATCGTCCGGATCRGCGCTGTTCCCACGAATYGGAAAACAATTGTTGTTTCTCATATGGATATAGTTCACGTGGGGAATCGCCGGTTGCCGTGGCATTCCTTCTAAAGAGAGGTAGACCAAAGAGTGTGAGAGAGAAGATAGAAGGGATGAGGCATTGTTTCCGTATCTTGCATGGAAASTTTCAGAGTACACCGCCCTCGGTTGCTTCTAACGCAAATGCGAACTCAAACTCACCGCAGTCGGCGTACATCAGCCCGAGGCCGCACGATATGCTCGATCCAGCAGTCTTACCGACATGGACGAGGCACAAMGGAAAATCGACAGTGAAATTCGGATGGCGATAGCTGTTTGAGGCGGCAATATCTGTGGATAYAGMGCCAGGAGTAGTGGCAGTAGCGGCAGTATTGTTTGTGGTTGGGTTCGTGGCTGTCAGATCGTTYGGTGAYGCCACCGATCTGAGGGCAGCCCGTGAAGTGTTGACGGTAGAGCGGTCGGTTGTACCACAGCGTGTGACATTCGAGTCCGGCTTCGATGCGCCAGAGCAATCGCCGCGAAACCACGTTGGATCACCGAGCGACGACGCCATACTGCTGCTGCTAGTTGCGAGGAAAACCATCGAGGTCGAAGCGAGGCGTGTATATGTCCAGCTGTAACACGATAAGAWCACGAGTAGAATCACGAGCCGCTGYCCACGGTATATGCGACAGCGACGGGGATTGGGTAGGTTCRCGGTGGGTGGCATGCTGTGTTGGTKTTTGTCGTGTGTGTTTTGTTCACCGGTTTCTCTGCGGCCGTTTGGGATCCCTTTCCGTGCGGTTTGTTTGTTCGTTCAGCTTTTCGCTACTTCGGAAGGTCTGATCAAACCACACCTTTCGGGATTACGTTGATCACGATCGATTGTGTCGGTACKTTGTCACCTGGAATTCAATCGAATTCCGCGAGCAAAGCGATATCGATTAGACCAGAAACTCAGATCGCTCAGACTCCAAATTTGAATAGCAATAGGCCTGTCCCATTCATTCAGATCGAGACACAACGTCTTGAAACTCTCGCCGCTGGTGAGGAGGTCGACTGAACACAATAAGACTGGCTCCTAGTATCGCATTGTGTTCCTGGTTTGCTTCCATCCAAATCAGTCATGTTCAGTGACTAGCATTTGCGATAGAAGTACGAATTAAGAAGATCGCAGTCACACCCAATGGCCACCAAGGGTTTTAGAGATCAATCAACAAACAGCGAAAACTAAAAAATGATACAGAACTTCATCACAGAAGGCACTTCACGAGCTTACGGCACTCACACTCGTACTCGTATTACGTATGTTGTGTTCGTATCCAATGTACGGTACAACGTCCGATCTGTGATGAGTCTGCCCACCGACCGTCGTAAATCAATCCAATGCGCGCCATAAAGTGCGCTTCTTTGCGCTCCCCGAAACATACGGTACAGTAAGGTGTCAGTCACATTAAGTTTCCTACACGCTAGCACTRTGACTACCGGAACGGTAGAGCCTACAAGGCCCGGAATTTTTCGGCAGGAGGCCAGAAACTAACGGTACGTACCGGTASACAGGATTTACAGTATTTTACGTACTAGACAACCAGTACGTAAGTACTGTTTCGTACCTCTGCCTAATATTGCGCCGAAGAAAAATTTCCACTTCATGAAGCCGTCATTGCGAGCACTACCAATAAGAACCGCATGGTAGGGTGTGTGCTACTCGAACCTGGCACCGGCACTCGTACTGAAAAGCAGACGGAAGACGACGCAGTGATTGATTGCCAACTACGTATCATTTCTACCCCAACGTTTCTTGACCCCACCAGTCGAGACGAAGGCACATAAACAAGAATCCAACCCCGAAAAATACCGTAACAATCGCATTCGCGCCCCGAACCATGGACTCGGCAGGAAATGAATCAGGAGCTGTTGCCGCTCCGGAAAACGATAACGATAACGACAACGACAACGATTCGGACGTCGAGCTGGAGGGAATGGACCTSGAGGGCGACGACGGAGAGGATGCCGACGATGGAGATACCGAGATGGAACCGGCCACCGCCCCCGATGCCCCCTCCGTGGAGGACGCGACTACCACGGACAAACTCGCGACCGAAGATCAGGACGAGCTCGAGGCCGCCCGCAAGGAACGGAAGGAGCTCATGGCGGAAGAGCGGAAGAAGGTAGCCGCCCCGGCACAGAACGAGGCCACGATGGCGGAAAAGCTCCAGTACTTGCTGTCGCAGTCCGAGGTCTTTGCGCACTTTCTTGCGGGGTCCGTGGCGGCAACCGACAAGAAACGCGGGGGGGGGAAGAAAAAGGGAGGATCGAGGGGGAAAAAGAACCGCATGACGGAGGCCGAGGAAGACGCGCAGCTGCTCAAGACGGCGGAGTCGAAGCGSAGCGTCATTCGGTTAGACAAGCAGGTRCGTGYGGCGATGTGTGCTGTGCTGTGTTGTGTGYAYATAAAATTCGATAGACGGGATGAATGCAGGTTGGAACCCATTCGACGGTGATGTTGCTCTGTCATCCTTGTGGTATGACTGACTATTTTGCTGTTGTTCTACCTTTGAAACAGCCTTCGTGTCTGGCGGCCCACTGTAAAATGCACGGCTACCAATTAGAAGGTCTCAACTGGTTAATCAAGCTTCACTGCAACGGTCTAAATGGAATCCTTGCCGAYGAGGTACGTTTCATTTTTGTGATGAGTTGAGCTGAGTTKTGCTCCGCTGCAGTAAAGGATTTTGTGTGCCTCACTTTGCACCCGCTGATAATTCTTCCTCCGTCTGAAAACATTAGATGGGACTCGGGAAAACGCTGCAAACCATTTCCTTCCTAGCCTACCTTAGAGAAGGACGAGGTGTCAAGGGACCACACATTGTCATCGTACCAAAGTCCGTAGTAGGTAAGTTGACATSTGTCGAGTGCAATGCASCTACCTCGCGTTGCATTGCGTCTTACGTTGTCCATGCATCTATTATTCGCGATTTTGCTTGTTCGTTTTTCACATACTTGGGCGTGTCGCTTCTAACGAAAAGGCAACTGGATGAGGGAACTTAAAAAGTGGTGCCCTGCCATTCGGGCGATCCGCATGGGCGGCACCAAGGACGAGCGGCAAAGGTTCGAAAAGGAGCACCTGCCAGTGGATCCGGCCACGGGGAAACACAAGTGGGATGTCCTCGTGACCTCGTATGAGGGGATGCTCAAKGAGCGCAGCAAGCTGGCGAAAATTAAGTGGAGATATCTCATCATCGACGAGGCGCATAGGATCAAGAACGAAAACTCCTCTCTCAGCAAGGCCGTGCGCATGGTAGATGTCGATCACCGACTCTTGATCACCGGTACCCCTCTCCAGGTAAGAGAAGAACGCTGTGTTTCTTTCTTTTGTCACATACAACGACAGCGACAAAGGACTTTGATCTGTAAATGTGTCGATTAATTCATGTTACTTGAAGTGTTTCGAGTTTTTTTCGTTTCSTTTGGTCTAAGCTTGGCCATCATCCATTTTTTACGTCTTTCTTCTTGTGTTCCAGAACAATTTGAGAGAGCTTTGGGCATTGCTCAATTTCCTCATGCCAGAGGTGTTTGGAGATGCAGAACAATTCGATGCCTGGTTCAGCCTTTCGGACGAAGGCGCAAAGGAAAACGTCATCAAGAAAYTGCACACAGTGTTGCGGCCTTTTATGCTCCGGCGGGTCAAGAAAGACGTAGCAACATCCCTACCGCCCAAAAAGGAAACCAAGCTGTATATTGGCCTTACAAAGATGCAGCAGGAATGGTACGTGAGTGTACTCAGGAAGGACGCTCACGAGCTAAACAAGCTGGGCGGACCCGAAAAAAGTCGCCTTCTCAACGTTCTGATGCAGCTCCGAAAAGTTTGTAATCATCCCTACCTGTTTGATGGCGCTGAGGCGGGTCCTCCGTGTAAGTCTCATGGAATAAAACAACTTCAATTGGATCGACTGGTCGCTCCTGCCATTGGAAACGCCGCGCCATTTCGCTATTCGATGTACTAACTATATCATTTTGCTTGTTGGTCCTTTCAACAAATTAAAATTCAGACTCGGATGGCCCCCACTTGTGGGAAAACAGCGGGAAAATGATGCTTTTGCACAAACTGTTGAAAAAACTTAAAGAGAAAGATTCTCGAGTTTTGATTTTCTGTCAAATGACCCGCGTCCTTGATATCTTGGAGGATTACTGCCGTTTGGTAGGGCACCAGGTAGGTCCTTGCTGTGCAAACTTGTTGAGTCAAAGAAGCGAAGTACATTATCAAGACTGCTCGCGGCTGACAATTTTTGTTTCATTGCACATAGTATTGCCGTATCGATGGAAACACAACCGGTGAGATGCGAGACTCTCAAATGGACGAATTCAATGCGGAAGGATCATCAAAGTTTCTGTTTTTGCTCAGTACCCGAGGTAAGTATGCAGTGGCAGCGATTTCGTATGCGTCGGGAAAAAATCAGTTTGGACTACAGCCTAAGAAATTGTTTTGTTTTGTACCGTTCTATGCAGCTGGTGGCCTAGGCATCAATCTGGCCACTGCAGACATCGTTGTGCTCTACGATAGCGACTGGAATCCCCAAGTTGATCTCCAAGCAAGTGAGTTATTATGTATACAAATATTGATGGTATCGAATTCCTACTTCCGGTGTCCGCCGAGTGCATGTCCGTGTCTAGCTTTTGGTTCCAACGATGGAAGCTTTGTACCACCATGGTGTCTAACGCATTGATTTTCTCTTTATCTTCTTAGTGGATCGTGCTCATAGAATCGGGCAGAAGAAACCTGTTCAAGTTTTCAGATTTATAACGGAGGGGACCGTCGAAGAAAAGATTATCGAGCGTGCTGACCGCAAGCTCTTTCTCGATGCAGCTGTAATCCAGCAAGGGCGGCTTGCCGAGCAGAACACCTCGCTGAATAAGGATGATGTCATGAAAATGGTTCGGTTTGGCGCAGATCAGATTCTAAGTGGGAAAGGCGGTACCTACACTGACGAAGATATCGATGCCCTCATTGCGAAGGGAGAGGAAAGGACAAAYGAGATAAATGCCAAGCTTCAAACCAATGCCCAACACAACCTCGCCGATTTCAAGCTCATCGATGACACGGACGATGGCAAAGACACGTTTTCGTTTGATGGCAAGAATTATCGGAAAGACTCGGGGCAATCGGTGGGCAACTTTATCAACTTACCACAGCGACAAAGAAAACGAAACTATGACGTWAATGAGTACTTCCGTGATGCGATGAGTACTGGTGGACCTACCGGCGGCATGAAAGCACATGCTACAGACGCAGCTGCAAAAAAGCGGAAGAAAGGACCAGCTTTTCACGATTATCAGCTATTCAATCGTGAGCGTTTGAACGCAATCGCGGCAAAGGAGAGAAGTCTCGCAGCTCAGAAAGAAGAGCAAATTAAAATCATCGGTGAACTCCGAGAAAGAGCTAAGCAATCACCTGAGCATACTCGTGCGGAGTTAACCGCTCGCTCGGTGGAATTGGAAAAGCGATTAGAGATTGACTTCAAGCTTTCTCCGAGAGAAGAGGTAGAAAAAAGTAAGTTACGTCAGGAGGGATTCCCAGATTGGAGTAAAAAGGATTTCAAATCTTTTTGCACCGCGACAGAGCGTCATGGTCGATATGATTTCGCCAGTATTCTTAACGACATGCGCAATGAGACTGGTAAGGATCATAAAGAAATCGTGAGATACTATGCAGCATTCTGGACAAATTACAGAAGAATTCAAGATTGGAAGAAAATTTTGGAAAAAATTCGAAAGGGAGAGAAAAAAATATTGCGGCTTCGTCAAATTCGGAATGCCATCCAAGAAAAAGTTGAGCGCCATTTGGAAGATGTGTACGGCCCACAATTTGCCGATTTGAAGGATGGTGAATTGCCACCGATTAATGAGCTAATCGAACACTCCTGGTGTAAGATGAAGTTCAACTATGGCGCTGGTACAAAGGGCAGGTCGTACCAGGAGGAAGAAGATGCATTTCTGGTGGCGATGATGTACAGACATGGTTATGGAGCGGCAGAGCGTATCCGAATGTCCATTCGACGAGCCTGGCAGTTTCGTTTTGACTGGTACTTTAAGTCACGTTCAGCTCAGGAAATCCAGAAACGTTGCGATGTCATCGTGAAAATTATCGAGAAAGAAAACTACGACATCAGGGAAGAACTGAGGAAGAAAGAAGAGCAAGAAAGGGCCCAAGCTACGCGTATGAATGAATCATCCAATACAGACAACGCCCAAACAGGTGAAGCTGTTCCCGCAGGTACAACGACTGCTGCTGCCACGATACCAGGAAGTGGAGTTCCTTGAAACAATAAACTCCTTTCCTAAACAGAATTCTCTAGGCAAAAAGAATTTATCATGTTCACTGTAAAATTTCCCCCTTTCCTTATGTTTTTTGTTTATCTTTGTCCCAACACCTCTGCCTGCACYCCCCATATCCATTTTTCAGTTTCTCAAGAGCTGTCAGTCTTTTACTCTCTTCTTACTAGACCTGTGTAGACTCCAGGGCAAATCCTACTCAGGAGAAAAGTAAACATTTTCTTTCTTTTTTGTTGTTGTTGCCCATGAGTAGGTGGGAACATTTGGGAACATGTGGTGAAGAGGTTTAAAATACTTCCTTGTTTTGACCTTGTAGACTAAAAGAGGCATAACAATGGGCAGGAAAAACTAGTAGTAGGCAATATACATGTCCAGGCTCTTGTAATAAAAGGGGTGAGATTTTTCTCTTTTTGTAGTCGGATGATGGAAGGTCGTGCTGGGTCTAGTGGCTCGTCCTTTGCCACTAGCAGTCATAGTTGTCTGTGATGATGCTCCCTCTGTTTGGAATGTAGATTATGGTGAACTKGGAAATCTCTGGTGATGCAGTTTACTACTTATTGATTTGCATAGTCTGTGAACTATTGATTTTTGTTGAAGAAGGTAAAGATTTTTCTCTTCTAGTAATTTAATGACAGAAGATTATACTACTAGTTGTAGGGTCCAGTGGCTCATCATTTGTTGCCAGCATTCATAGCAGTTGTCTGTGATGATCCTTCCTCTTTCTGGAATGTACATTATGGTGAGCTGAAAATCTCTAGTTATACAGCTTACTAATTATTGGTTTGCATCTAGGAGGAGGCAATGCTCTGCTGTGATACTAGTAGGAGGAATAGTAGTACTATGTGCCATCATGATAGCATCTGGGATAATCTTGTTGCAGTTAAGGACAAGTTGCTATTTCAGTTATAGCTACACCAACACTGATGCAATATTACAAAGCTACAATTTAGGTGTGTGAGATGTGACTGTTAGGGCCAGSATGGCTGCTGGGCCTGAATCCTGAGAGTTTCAGAGATAAGAGGGATCACAGGTACTGTATTTGTGGGTTTTKTTCTAGTAGTTTCTTCTTCTAGTTCAAATTGTTGCCACAAACATGATCACTACTTTCCTGCTGGCGGTGTGCTGTCTTACTAATAAAGAGTGATGTAGGAGCAAGAAAAAAGAATTCAACCAGGTATGCACAAGACTGTACAGGAATACCRGTGCTTTACAAGAAGAAGAGGATTTGGTGGGGTTGCAGTGAAATGAAGCAACTTTGGAAGGTTACAAACAAATGTGGTGGAATTTAGGATGGGGACAATGTAGTGAGTGTTTCTTATGGTGAGGAGTTGACAGAATTGTAGTAGGCAGCAAGGAGTACTACTAACACCATGGTTTTGGTATTGCCATTTGAAGGCAGTAGCCACTGTAGCAGGAGTTGGGTTTTGAAGTGGTGGCAATCACAAAATAAAAATAAAAATAAAAATAGGATGAACCTTTTGAACATGAATGACCAAGAAAAAGTTATTAACATTACTAGCACTGCAGCTGCTGCTAGTAGCAGTAGCTTTTACCATATGTATGCATCAACATAAAATCATTACCACTGGTACAAGTACTACTACTAGTACTAGTACTGCTATCAATACAACAACAACAACAACAACAACAACAACAACAACAACAACAACAACAACAACAACAACAAAGAAGAAGAAGAACGATCCACMGCTCAGCACCACCACCACCAGTGATGACTTTTCATAGGAGAACTGAGTTTTTGTATCAAATTCTATTACACTAACTTAATTGGTTCTTGTTTGTAGTAGATATAAGATTCAAGGGTTATTTCCTGTGAAGTAATTCTATGTTTTAATATTTTAATATCCATAATGTTTTTCAGATCAAATAATCAAATAACCCGTGAAATTGAGGGTGCGTACTCGTACATCATACTAGGAAAGAGTATCGTATCAAGTATCGTACGATACCCCGGTACAATGGCCACGTATGTCCACGTATGTCTAAGAAAAATCTCAAAAATCGAACAAACTATCGAAATCGTCAACGCGCTTCCGAGACTGCAGAATGGAACACCAAGTGCTAGAAGTAATTCCTACCGGTACATACTATCTTCGACGGGAAACGGTAGAGAATCTAGAAAGAGAGATGCGATAGATATTGACAGAAAACTAGAATTCAGCAAATTGATCGAGGGACCTAAAGCCTCTTCCCAAGCAACAATGAAATACATCAAATCTGCTCTGTGTTTGAACCTCATTCTTACACTTTGGAGTTCAMTATTTCCCGAATCTTCGGCATTTTCAACGTTCTCAATCTCTCGCCACCTTTCTACAGTTGGATCTTCGTCGGATAGAATTCACAAACGAAGGAAAGCATGCACAATTGGAACTCGTTTGCTTGCAGCGCATAACAAGGAAAATGAATCGACAACAACCTTACCAATAGCAACGAACAAATCATCTTTCTTCCCTGTCCCTGATGAGAATGATTGTAATGTCGTCAACGAGAAAAATATATCTTCCATCGAAGACAAAGAAAGCGAAATTCTTGGATCAAACAAAGGATACAGCGATGACGAAAAAGAGGAAATGGCAAAAACGATCATGACATTGATATTCATAATTGGCTCTCTTTCTTCTCTCGATCGAGTTGCAATGAGTGTTGCTCTCGTACCCATGTCGGCAGAGATGGGTATTTCGGACACAGTGAAAGGCTCAATTTCGTCCTTTTTCAGTGTAGGATACGGCTTGGCGATTTTGCCAGCTGGTTTAGTGCTGTCGAAATTGTCTCCACGTGCTATTATGGCTGCCGGTATATGCTTGTGGAGTGCAGGRACGATCATTACGCCTTTCTCTGTAGCTACAGGGAACATGAGTCTTCTTTTGAGTGCCCGAACTCTTGTGGGGGCATCGGAATCTGTCGTCATTCCTGCTGTACAACAACTTCTCTCAAATTGGATTGCGCCCGAAAAAAAGAGTTTTGCCGTCGCARTAGTGTATTGTGGGTTTCAAACTGGCACTATCATGGCTTATTCTTTGAGTCCACAGGTTATTGATTATTTTGATGATTGGAGGAGTGTTTTCTACTTATACGGTGGGGCTGGTCTACTTTTTCTAATCCCCTGGCTAACCTTAGCTAAGGATTCCCCAGATGTTGCCTTTCAAAATAGAGAAAGTAACGAAGACAGCAAGAATGTCGTAATTGATAGCTCGAACGGAGACCAACCCTCCTTTGCCAATTCCTTACAGGAAAATTTCGAKAGCGCCAAAGAGGTGTTTTTGTCCGCACCTTGGAAAGAATTCAAAGAATCAAAAGGTGTTTGGGCAATGTTCATGGCACACGCTGCAAATAATTGGGGATTATACAATAATCTGTCATGGACACCAACATTTTATTCGGAGCAGTACGGTTTGAATGTAAAGGAATCGGCCTTGCTGCTAGTAGTACCATCYATAGCCGGTGCAATTGGAGGCCTCAGTTCCGGGAAGATCGCAGATTCTGTCATCCAGAACCTAGAAACTGTGACCGATGACGACATCACGCGCGTTAGAAGAGCATTTCAGGGTTTGGCTTTGCTAGGTCCTGCAGTTTGTTTGTCAGTTCTGGCCTCCAATATACCAGAAGAACCTTGGATAGCGCAGACATTATTCGCCGCAGCGGTAGGGTTGCAATCTTTTAATGCTGCTGGTTATGGTGCAGCCAATCAAGAGAAGGCGGGAGCTCAATGGACTGGACTTTTGTACTCGATAACAAGTCTTCCAAGTGTGATGGTTGGAACATTTGGCGTTTATCTGACAGGTAAAATCCTGGATGCTACAAATCAGAATTGGAGCTACGTTTTTGGTTTGAATGCCTTTGTTTACATGCTTGGGGGGCTCGCCTTCGCCACGCTGTATGATTCTCGAAAAGAATTCGATTGATCAGTTCAAATGTCAAACTATTCAATACTCGATCTTAAAACTTAATTTTACAAATTTCGGTTTCGAGCATTATTCTATGTTTCAGTGAAACTAAGCCGACCGTCTCCTTCGATGATAACCTAGTTTTCGGCGTGGTGAAGAAGTAGGACCTTTATCATTATCGTCCGAATTTTCAGCATCCTGCAAGATTTCTGAGCATCCCGATACACCAACACGAACAATCTCTTCTCCGCGAACAATCCTTCCACTCGTTATTCGAAATCTTTGCAAGAAGGTTGCTGTCAGTGTAGCCCAAGTATCTCCGCCATCTCCCTGTGGATCGTTTGTACACACGTTGTAATCTGTAGATGCATGAGCAGAAATTCTCAGTCGAGAAAATTTCTTCGCAGAAAGTCGTACCAAACGGTCGTCTATGTCGCACGAATCCAGCCCAAGTGTCGTCAAATGATTTTTCATGGCTTGTTCGATCAATTGACGGCCATCGATAGAGGGGCTATTCTTGGAATCTCTAAGGTTCCGCTTGATGAATATACCCTTGTTTGATGAGGATTTTGCTGCATATTCAAGGGCATGCGTCCAGCTAATTGCCTTATCAATACTATTGAAGTAAAGATACCGTTCCTGAAAGCTCCCTTTAGGGTCAATAGATACAACATAATAGCCAGGTTGGTCTTTTGCTTTATCTACTGATATTGTTGCATCGTTTATTCCAATTTGTTTCCGAAATCCATGAGGCAAAGGAGTGGCATGACGATAGAAGCTGAGTGTTGATTCAGATAAGATAAAAAAGCGTTTTCTCCATGACTTTTGACTTTTATTGCGAGTTCGTATCCATCCCGTTTTGTTGTCGTTCACATAATCATCAGCAAGCCCTTCCGATTCGTCGAGTTCGACTTTGATTGATAGGGGATCAGGTTTTCGAGAACTCGGTACCAAAACAACCAAATCAGAATTACTAGAAAGGGTGTCTATACAGAAATAGGAATCGCCAGCGCTCCTGGTTCGATTGATGGAGAGAAGTATGTCTCGCGCGTATGCAACTGCCTTCGACTCTGGGATTGCATATCGGTAGTATTTCGAGTCGGACCTGCTGACGGCAACAATATTCCTYGTTAAAGCACCAAGCACTTTTTCAGGTCCGTGCCCATTGCCACCCTCAAACAATTCTGCATTGATCCTTATTTTGTCACGGCTTAAATCTCTCCACAACTGCTCTAGTCTACTGCTCATGCTTTTCTCCACAAATGCACCATCAAGATTATTGCCATCCATACGTCCATTGCCTGGATCAGCTTGTCCCATTATCCATCTTACAGGAATATCTAAATGCTCCCGACTGGTAAGATTGATCATACCGCCGATGTAGTCTTTTTTTGACTTTGAATTTTTCAAAATAGTTTTCACCTTGAGATAAAGCTTAAGGTCGTCTTTATACGGTGATCGAGAATTTACAGCTCCCGATTTTCCGTGAGCATTTACTGAATCTTGAGTAACGGATCTTCCAACCATGGCATCATTGATTGCCTGTATCCATGTATGGCGCTCTGCTTTCGATCTAGCCAACCAAAGCCGTCCAAATTTCCCGACCTTGAGCTCGAAAATTGCTCCTTGTATCATGTTAAGACCATTGCGATGAATTTTTACGGCCCGACAACTAGTCTCGTTTGAATCTAATGGAATGTTCTTCTGAAGCAAAGAACAAGCATTCTTGTCGCCCGAAACGGTGTCCTCGAAATAAGTCAGCATTCCTCTACGAATTTCAACATATTTCATTTTCCAAACACCTGAGAGAACGTGTGAAGCTTTTTTGAGTGGCCCACACTTAATAATATTGGGATCATTCATTCCAATTTGGGTCGCTGTCGTCTCTCGTTCGTTCAAGAGACCAAGAAGAGCCCGGAGGAAAATCCGGTGTTCCATCGCAAAGTTCAGGCATGTCACTTGTGTAACGGGTAAGTCTTCGTAAGGTAAACGACGAAGTTCTATTGATCTTCCCGATCTTCCACGTTGTGCTTCGAAGCGTTCTGAATCAGAAAACTGATCGTCCGAACAGGACTCTTCTGCGTCGGAAGAAAAGGTCTGTTGGGGGCTAACTCCATTGGGTTCTTCGTCRGAGGAGGAATCAAAGCTACTGCTCTCCTGTCTTTCCATGGTGACTTTATTGTTGTGATTGGTGGAAATCTTGCAACGCAATCGACGATCTTATTCGTCTATTTTGATATGGAAGGGAGGGAAATGATAACTTTTTCAAAATCATCGTTTCCTTTCTTCGGTTCGCCACCGTGTAAGGAAGTGCTTCTCGTTTTGAAATCAGAAAATGGAGGTGCTAYGGGAAATTAGACATACMAATTTCTTTAAAAATATAAATAGCCGCCCTGCGCGAAATTTGAAATTTTGATCTTGGTCATAAAAAACAAAACGGAAATTTCAAAGAAATAATACCCCCGCGTAAAGTACGGTACTACGATACTGTATCGCTTTCTATTCCTCATCTCAGTTTTCCTTTCACACAACTGGTTCCAGTACGGTACGGTTGGAATCGAAGATTGAGGTTCAGTATCATTCGTCACGGCAAGTCGTACCCAGTGAAATAAACCACTTCTACTGTGCTTCATTTTAGAAGACTTCATCACTTGGAACGATAATTGCAGGTTCTCATCAACAACAAAGAAGTCGAATCATGTCCGAATCTCCGCATCGAAAGCGGGGATTGTTCGCAACTAATCGACAATATTATCGGAAATCGAAATCGCCACTCAAGAAAAGGGGGCTTTCGTCGAAAAGTACAACGAATGGTATTTCTCCCTTCAGTAGCGTTAGAAGGCGTACTGCCCAATATGAAGAAAATATAAGCAAAAACAATTTCTCAAAAGACAGTTCTGCGAAATCCGATACAGTTTCGTTTCCAGAATCTACCGATGATTGCAAGGAAAACAATTTCATTGGATCCACAAACGTCGAAATCAAGTCCTACAGTCCATTGACAGTAGATACTAATGCCCCCATACATCCTCTCCAGTTTCCAATGGAGGAAAATGCGGGAAACGATGGATATATCCCAAGGACCACTTCTCCAGGCCATAACAGCCTTCCAATTTCATCCCCTACCATAGGTCGGCTTTCCCACTCACCAAGTCAGCAGCCTCAACCTCCAAACCATATGGATATTAGATTCGATCATGGTTCTCCTAGTATTCTTGGTACGCCCACCTCGAAATATACGAGTCTTTCAGATACGAAAGTAAAGAAGAAACACAATGACGGTGTTCGAAAAATGAAGTCTCCATTTAAAATTGGAGGTGTAATAAGTCCAAACATTAAGTCTCCGTTCAAAGTTGGAAGTTCACTCAGTCCGAATACTTATTCGAAGACTAGGAACAGAAAATTCGACTTCAACGGGGATGGATCATCAGGTTCTACATACCTTTTGGGCACTTTGGGTGAAAGATTGGATATTCATGAATTCAACCATGAAAATGGCCCGGAARCTACAATTTTGTTTGAAGAGTCAAGTAACGGAGATGACGAACTTGGTGAACTCGGCGATAAGTCAGTGAGGACCTCTAAGAAAGATGAGAACGTTATCAAGAAGAGAACAGGCATTGAAAACGGCAAGAARCGTGATGGCTTTGTACAAATAATGTCACGCAGTCGACCCCCGAGTGAACTGCATGGTCTTTGTACCTCTATGACTACCACGGATGATTTGATCAAGGCCAAGTCGCTTCTTTTTGGCATCCCTCTACATCAGGCCACGAGACGCAACTATAAAGGAGAAACTATTCTCCATGGTTTTTCCAACAACAAAGCTCTAGCAACCATCATCGGTAACCCGAATAATGAGCATTATGAAACGAAAGATTTCCTCACACTMTTTCGTCAGCCAAGCGTTGATAAAGGTTCAACAGATCAATTAAACGAATTGGTGGAAACTTTCCTTGTTGATGAACTTCTACCCTCCTTTTTTGGAGCACCCATAGCACAAGATGATAGTGGCCAAATACCATTTGAAGCTGGTYTGATCGATTGGGTTGCTACATGCCACAAGGAAATGTATGGAATTTCTGCTGAGATCGGTACTGGTTACTTTTCAACCTACTCGCATCGAGTCAGCGACGTTGTTACCCAAGCGTGGGAGTCTACATCAACAACAATYTTAAGTGCGATTCCTTTTGGYAACAGATCAGCAACAAAAATGTTGAAAAAACAGTGTCAGGGGGATTCCCATTTAGATCTGGAAAGAGGGGATTCAATGAGTAGCTCAGGGAGTAGTACGACGTCAGGATCAATTGGAAAATCTAAGTTTAGTCCCCATGCTCGATTCTGCTTACGGATGCTTTCTTTGATTCTCGATGAATTTGAAAAGTTCACAGAAGGGTTTAGAAGTATGGGAGTGAATCACCAGATGGAAAAATATGGTAGAGCCATCAAAGGAATTCAACAGCTCGAAAATGTCACTGGTCCCCTCGATCTTTGCGGAAGAGTGGTTGAGAAAATTGCGTCTATTCCGAACCTTCTGGAAGTGATTTTCTCTATCAACAATGATATTGACCTTGACTTCGTTCTRTCGACRAAAATAATCAAGCGAGTCCTACTGGATAAACATTCTGTAGGACCATGGTTGACTCAAATGTTACAAAGTCCACAGCGACAACTCTCTAAGCGTGCTATCCTTTATCTTCAAACTGTGTCGTCATTGTGCTCTGGGAGTCAGAAGGGTAACGATAAGAATGGAAAGGAAGAATCGCAACCCGAAGTTGCTTACTATGACGATCTCATCGACGAAGTTAGCCGTTTAGATGATTTCATTCCTTCGTTGCTAGCACTTGGTGATAATGTCATTGAGGAAATATCGACATCTCTGATTGTGAAGAAAGTGATGGATAGAATGATTGCCCGACCTTTCGTTGCAACTGTTGTATTTTGCGATGCCATCTTTTTGTTTCTTATGATCGCAGGATTTCGGGCAGCTGTGAATGGTATGATTATGGGCGATGATTTGGACACAGTTCTCGCGTGGATATATGTTGTAAGTTGGCTATAGAATGAGCTGGCATAATTTTCGTTTGTTGGAGAGCGACTCACCAAAAAAAATTGCAGTCCAATACTGGAATCTTTTACTTTATTATCAGCGAAATCGGAAAATTTGTCAGCCTCTTCCTACTCTCAAAACATTCAAGAAATTATATTTTGTCGTTTTGGAATTTGGTTGATTTCCTCGCTATTTTACTTGCAGCAATCTCATCAATCACGATGCGATGGCAATTTACTATCAGCGACGAGACGGGTATCGAAGACAACGATGCTTTGCGTGGACTACTAGCTGTGACTACGGGACTTCTATACCTTCGAGTTTTGAATTTCCTCAAGGCTATCAACATGCAGTTGGCGACTTTCGTCCTTGCTATCGTCCAAATTACAAAAGATATCTTCTGGTTCTGCATCATTTTGTTGACGCTGATCATATCTTTTTCCCAGATGTTCTTCACAATTTTGGCTCCTCCGTCATGTGCTACGAAAGATAATTCGGGCCTTCAATGTCAACAAACCGAATATCTTCTTGGTGTCTATTCCATCCTTCTTGGGGATTTCGGGATTTTTTCAAGGGAGGATTTTGCAACCGGGTTCTCAGTTTTCCTTGTGGTCTTATACACATTTTTGGTCACCGTGGTACTCTTAAACGTTCTAATTGCCATTGCATCTGATAGCTACGAAAAGTGCTTGATAAAATCACAAAAACTCTTTGGAAGAGCCCGGGTAATGCTAATAGCAGAGCTTGCCTCTTTCCAAAGCCTTCTGCGCAGAAGGGATCAAGATACTGCGACACTAGAATCTAATGCGGGAGRAGGGATTGTCTACAGCAAATGGTGGACAAGCGTAGGTCTGACACATAACTGGAGTCGTGGATCTGTGCTATTCTTTTGGTTATCCATGCTCGTCATAGTAAGTATATGGTTGGCTCAGCTAATGTGAATTGAGGGCAATGCACAGTATATTTCAGTTTCTCACAGTGATACTAAACGATTGAAACTCCGTTGATAATTAGGTTTGTTGGACATTCGCTGAATTGGTAGGTTACGTGCAGGGTGTCAAGGTCGGTTCTCTGATTATGAGTTTCTCGAGCGTCTTGATCAACATAACGCTGTACATCGTAATAATGTTCTTTCTCGATCGTAATCCATCAGCTAAATCGCTGGATGGAAACGATGGCTGGGCAATTGGCTTACAAAAAACCGTTCATTGGGTACTTGGCGTATCGCGAAGGTCTCAAAAGGTTTCAAGTAAGCATTCGAGAGGACAAGATGAATGGCATGGCCGAGTTGAGTTTTTGCAACGCGAAATGGATCGGAATGCAAAGARAAATGCAGAACTAATGAAGTCGCAGTCCAAAAGTTTACAGAACATAATGAACATGTCTGAGACGAGAGTGAGGACAGAAATCAATCAAATCGACGACAAGTTCAAACTGTTGGAGGCCTCTGTGCAAGATGAAGTGAATGGGACAAGAGAGTTGAATGCCAATTTGATGAGTGCAGTAAGAGAACTTAGACRATTGATCTCCCTCGCCGAAGGGTCGAGCAATGGAAGCGATTCTCCTCCCAGCATTCCAATCGAGGTAAACCTTGGAAGTGAATAAAAAATCATTTTATAAATTAAAAAGGGAATTACAGAGGGGAAACGCAGTTTCAGTGTGTTGAGTTGGCGACTTATYGAAGGCCAGGGATCTAAGATGACAACTCAACTCAAGAGAAGCAAAAAGKTTATGTTTCCACACACATGGCATTAATTTAAGAGTATGCAAATATTCTACAAATAACAAGAAATTTAGTTACTTTTTGCCGTCCAAAACAAAATATCCAATACTTGTTCAGAAGTACAACCACGTGAAGCACCAATAAGCTCTGTCTATCCGCCTGATGAGTGATGCAAGCCGCAATGTGATGGAGACTAGGCGCTGTGAGAGAACCTTTGGTACATCACAAATATTGTGACGGAGTCCACATTGGAGTAATGTGTTCATTGACTCCCGAACTTTTTGGTCTGGTTTGGACACTAAGTAAGGCTAAATAAACGTTGCGAGAAATAAGTTGTGTTGAGTTTTATATTGTTTTGTTACAAGAACTTCCCGAATCGGATTTGTTATTCCATTGCGCTACTCGCAGCTAGTGGAAAGGTAAGAACTTTTTGTGCTTTTTTAGAAGACACGGAAAGTCTTCTTTCCGGTCTTGGCACGTTCGGATKRATGTCCAACAACGTTGAATCGRACGGTCTTGGAGAGAGGACGGCACTGACCAACGGTGACAATATCTCCTTCCTTGACTGGAAAGGCGGGGGTGCAGTGAGCGGCAATGTTCTTGTGTCTCTTTTCGAAACGACGGTACTTTCGGATGTAGTGAAGGTAGTCTCGTCGTACGATGATCGTTCTCTTCATCTTGGTGGAGATRACCTGTCCGGTGAGAATTCTTCCGCGGATGGAGACGTTTCCGGTGAAGGGGCACTTCTTGTCGACGAAGGATCCCTCGATGGCGGCGTCGGGGGTCTTGATTCCAAGTCCGACGTTCTTGACGAAACGCATGGGCTTTTGGCGGGCATTTCCGACGGCACGCTTGCGGGCGACAAAAACAGCATCCTGCTTCTGGTATGCCTTTTCGTGCTGATCGCACTCGACGTAATCCTTAGCAATTCTAGCCATCTTATTAGTAACTATCTGGTACCTTACCTTTTAAAAGAAAACAAAGAGAAAACAAAAGTCAGCAACGAGGGTGTAGGGGCGAAGGATCTATAGGTAATGGCGATAGCAAGGACTATCTTTCCATGCTAACAACRATCTACAGTAATTCAGCTGTGCAAGGATGAAGGAGTCTTGTTCCGGTTCACGTCGAAACACAGTAGCAACGTCCAGAGAGCGACACTGCGTCCTCGCAAGATGTGTTCATTCCTCCTTAACGCAGACGAGACTCCCCCAACCCGTGCTGGTATGGCTGCTGCTGCTGTTGTTGCATTCATGGTGCTGTTCTCTCTATTATCGTTAGCAATACATTTCCATCTCATCGACTCCCATCGTCAAGTCGTACCTTAAACTAGCTGTAACGTAGAGATTAAACAATAGGAATACTCACTGGAGGAGAGACGATACGAGATGCCCGGGGATGCAGTGAACGGGGTGTGTTTTCTACCTATCCTCTGCGTTTCCTGCCTCRTACGCACAACTATTTACCGCTTACTTAAAATACCAAGACAGGGAGTCTAGATACAATACATATTCTACATATGTATTATGACTAGGAATGACTAGGATTCCATAATCACACGATGGATCGAACTGGTCGGATTACAATAAGTCGTGTTTGATCAATTCGATTAAAAGAATGTGTGATAAGACTGAAATTGGTGTTGTAAGCTGGTTGCGCCCCAGCGTGGCTCGACGAAAGTTGAAGGCCCGGCGGGCCCCGCCCCCGCATCGATTCAGTTCGAATACGACTACGTACGGTACGTACCGTACCGCCCTACCCGACCCAGTGCAGTCGCACGGGTACACCATAAGAACTAAGTACTGGTAAAAACTACGTACGGTAGACTACTGAAGTCGGTACGCAGGTCGATTCGTGCAGTAGAACAAGGTCTGTAGTACAAGTACTCGTACCCTTATCACCGTACCGTACAGGAAACCACTGAGAAACATACTGTAGGAACGGATACCAAAGCATACCGKTACGCTGGGGCTTCGCTCCCGGTTCCATCGTCGGACAGGTGGGATGTTGCGAAYGCAATCGGTCATACGCCAAACCGTATCGTAGCTCTTCATGTCAACTCTGTTTTCCATTCGCAGTTTGTCTCAACTTCTTTTGCCAAAAAGGTTGAAATCGAAGCAYCGCTTTTGCTAAACGGACTTTAGAACACACGTCGATCTCTTTCCGGATCGCATCGTTGCACATRCAGATTTGCTTTCCGTTTCTTGCCCTTCCCCGATTTGCATACGAACACTGCACCAAACATCCATCACATGGTCGATGAAAATCTTCGATAACATAATGAAAAAGGCTTCTGGGGAATGGAAGGGCGAAAGCGATCAGGAACWCGACGGTATTCCGCTCGGCGGAAGCACGAGCAATAGCGAGGGATACGCAAGCAACAGCTTGGTGGAAGAGCCCGCGGCGTTAGTCGGCCATTCGTACGGAAGCTTGCCCGGGRAGGAGCAACAGCTACCGGAAAAACGACCAGACGGAAACGCAAATGCTCCGCTTCGCTCCGGAGGAAGCGGCAGCCGGAAGAAATCCRGCGGCCTACCCCCGCTCTCGCTCTACATCGAGGCCGGGAATTTCCGGAGGGCATCGGAACGCGCCAGAAAACACCCGGGAGAGGTCAAAGCGTGGGCCCCGATCCCGATCAAGTCATCACCGAGGAGTTTTGGTAGCGACGGCAAAACGCTAAAGCGACTCGCACTGCACCATGCTTGTTTGAAGGTGAGTGATTCGGTGATTGAGTGGGTGGATTTCTTTGTGGGAAGAAACCATCAATAATAGTAGTAACAATCTACACAACTGCTGCCACCGCCATCGTCAACGGAGCATCGTCGTTTGCAATATCCTATTCTAACGTTGTAATGYCCAACCAYAAACTACAATGCGTTCGTTTTTGGCAACAAACCATCGGATACAGCTCCGGGCTGCGAGCGGGAGCCGCAAGACGATGGACGAAGACCCGTTCGTTGAGCTCTGCCGCTTGATTCTCTTGCTGATCGAGCTRYACCCCCGTGCCTGCGCAGAAAGAGAGACGCGTCATGGTTGCATGCCGCTACACCTGGTGGCGTTTGCGTCGTGCGCGGGACCCTCGGAACGAGCCAGGGGGGCCAGCGCGACCGACAATCACCACGGCAGTGGTAGCGTCAACGCGCCAAGGGTCTTGTCGCCAAGCAGCTCAACGTTTTCGACATCGGCGCTRTCGTCGGCACTCCCATCCCCTGCAAGCCATTGCGAGCCCCGGAACTCGCCGTCCAAGCTCTCGAGGCCCGTCATTCTTTCCCACAACCAGCGATCGGTCTCGGAAGGAACCGCTGCAACGCAGCGCACAACGATGTCGGTGGCCATTGCCGAGGAAAAATATACGGGAATCCAGTCTGAATATCACGAATTGCAGCAACAACATCAAGGCGGTCAGCCACAAATTCAATCCCAATCTGTGTCTATGGGAAACAACGTGTTCGTRTCCGCGGAACGGGAAGAGTGGGCTGTCAAAGTCGTGAATGCCCTTCTGGATGCCTTCCCCCGGGCAATCAAAATGAGTTCCGAAGGGGGGCGGCTGCCCCTGCACTGGGCCGCAGCGGGGCGTGCGACCCCCCGGGTTGTATCGACCCTGATTACGGCGTACCCAGATGCGGCAAAGCACCGAAATAAGGACGGCTGCCTCCCTGTTCACCTATGTGCACACTGGGGTATTTCGCATTCCGCCGTGGTAGTCTCGATGCTGAGGAGTTACCCCGATGCTACGTATGGAAAGAACCGCTGGGAGCGGTCTCCATTGGAAGAAGCCCTGTGCATGGCTGGTGAAAACGGAAGGCCGCATCAGGCGGTGTTGGTTCGGGCGCTGCGAAAACACCATTCACACTGGACCCGGCCCGAAGGCGTCCTCTTTCACCAGCCACAGAYCTCACGGCGAGATCCGATGCGCAACCTTGTGGACACCGACGAAACTGTAGATAGCATGGAAAACTCATTCGTTGATGCCGAWGCTATATACGAGGACAGCCTCTTTCGGGACGAGTAAGTTTCGATCTGCGCGTGCGTGCGTGCGTTTGTGCATATGAATGCATCCATAGGTTCTGATGCAGGTGTAGCTTTTGTCCCATTACRTTCGGGTAAAGATGTTAGTTTCCTCTCCTCACTTTTCCTTATTCCTACTTTGATGGTTATGTTCAATCTCTACGATGGGCACAGACGAGGTGCATACGGTAAGCCACCACCCAAAAATGGGCTCCAAGAATTCGATTTGCAGACATTGATCGTTCAACAAAACTGGGAGTCGGTTGCCCACCGCCTCGATTCGAGTCCAACCGAAGCAAGGGTAAGCCTCAGGGTTCCCACTCGCGGCGGGTTTACCTCTAGTTCGGGTTTCGCCCCGCTGCACAGCGCATGTGAAAACATTCCTCCAAAAGAGATTGTCGAGAAAATGATACACCTGCATCCGGAGGTCGTCACTCAGAGGTTCATGCCTGGTGGTAAGCTCCCGCTTCATGTCGCTTGCACATGGCATGCACCAAAAGAATCGATTGATGTTTTGTTGGCAGCAAATCGAAATGCTTGCAAAATTCCAGACGAGCTCGGAAATTTACCACTGCATYTGGCTTGTTTCTCWGGAGCGCCGCCGGCCGTTGTTGAAATCCTGTTGAAAGCTTATCCGAAAGCCGTGCTATATCGAAACAACCAAGGCTCTTTAGCTGAAGATATTACGAAGAGGTTGAAGCACGATAGTCGAACTTTATCGATTTCGTTGCTCCATCTCTGCAGAGACGAGGTAAACAGAAAAAGACAAATGAAACACCGTCGAAACCGGTCAGATGGTTACATTCACAGTGCACAGGAAGGTGCGGTTATGCATTCGAGGTACGTGCATTCAAGACAACTTTGCTASAGTACTTACAATCAATCAAATTGTGTGGAAACGTTCTTCTTGTTKCAACYTTGATATATCTAACCGTTGCTTACTTCTCGGTCGGTCGACAGGGATAGCCAAGTGAATCCAACACATTATCTGATCGATCATTGCGAAAGTGAAGAAATCGAGGTYACGTACAGTGGCGAGAGTGAAGCCAAGAAAGAGCTAGTATGGATATAATGTGAAAATCTTGGAATKACTTCGAGTTGGTCAGGTGGATGAAACCCAGCTTTCCACWGGGTTGAACATCGYTGTTGGATTCGAAAAACATTGTGATGGRGCTACTGAGAGCTCCTCGGAGACCCAAGGACGGCGATCACACCTGCATCGTAGGAAGTATTCCACACTTGATTGGTCGTGTTAATCAAATTAYTTGCACTTCAACATAGATATACTGTATATTGGTCAAATAGGGTAGAAACTACTACTGGGTAATTTGAATTCATGATAATTCATGCTGATTAGTATGTTATACCTAGCTAGTACTACTACTACTACTAGTACCACTATCAATGGCTTTCTCTGGTACAAGTGTTCTTACTAGCCATACTTTTGTACCAGTATGTATGACTACTGATACTAGTGTTCCTAGCAGTACTACTAGTAGTACTGTTCATGATGGTGGTAACAAATTTGCAGCACAAATTTATGAATGGCAGGAAATGCAGTAACATCACAATATTTCAGCCACAGTTTGATTCTTTGTACAACAACATTATGCTGCTGTTAGAATAGGATGGCAGAAATTTGGCAACATACCAATTGCAGCCCAAACATACTACTACTACTATGGGAAAGACAGGAATATAACTCCAAGATMAAAAAATCATTGAAGGGGGGCAGGAACACAAGAATGGCAGCACCAAAAAACGATTTAATTTTCCTTTATTTAATATTTTGCTTAGTTTAATTTGCCACCATTTTAAATTTTGACTGCTGCCATTATGATTCTTTTCATAGAACAGG